CTGTATTTTTATGTAAGGAATTATATTTAACGGCTCTTTCGATGTTTGAGTAATGGGAAAGAACATCATTTTGGTCTCTGACCCTGACTAACATACTGATAAATCGGATTGTCTGATGTCATCGAACAGAGAGCTAGATGCTAACAACAGAACATTAAGTAAGTAAGAGGCTGACTTATCTGAGAAGACGTTCAAGCTGCGAGCAGCGTATTTGGCAAGATTTCCGTATAACCCTATACTTCATTGTGCATTCAATTCTTGGATAAAGGAAAGCAGAGGCAAAGCAACAGATTTCCTCTGTGACTACGGCTTTGTTTTTGATTGGTATGGGGTTATACGGAAATCTTTCCGCGCATTTCTCTAATGCACCACCTGGTCTTCTTCAGTTCCCTGACGTAGTCGATTGGTTACCCTCGTGCGAGTGTTTTTAGTTCAAAAACCATGTGGTGTTTCTGTGATTGTGTTTTACCGATCGATCTACTTAGTGGGACGCGTGGTTGGCCAAAATTTCAAGATCAGCATTATCATAGGGAGTTGATATGATATGCTGTGAGTGGTGTCTACACTGAGAAATTTGTTGCAAGGAATTGCGGAGTTGATAGTATGTTATCTCCACACTGAAAAGTTAAGATTTCTTCATAGTTTGTTTTTTACGAGGTGCGATTAAGGATTGGTTTCTACACAGAAAGAAAAAATAGCTTGTCAAGAAGTTGAAATCATGTTGATTTATGAAATCTATGATTTTGATTTGCAGTTCTAAGATGAAGCGCTCTCTAGTTGAGAAAGATGGGCCAAGTAGCGCTGAGTCAGATCCTAAAAGGCACAAGAAAGATGAATCTGGCTCAACAAAACCCAAGAAAGATTCAAACTCTAAATCTGTTTTGGTGTTGACGAGCACTGATGTGCGCAAAAACAACGGCAAAATATACCTGGCGGATGCTAAAGAAATCTCCCTATTAAAGGAGACCGAACGAGGGCGATATAAAAAGGAGATGATGTTCTTCAAGACTATGACAGAAGAGGATGTGGAGGAGGAGCTTCGTCGCCATTTTCCAATTTTGAGAAATGGTGGAAGGTAAATTGAAATGGACTGTCAGATATTAATGAAGGTCAATGGTTGGGGCGGGAAGAAGGTATGAATAGAAAAGTGGTATTAATTGGATCAACAAATTATCCCTTTATTGATATTTTTACTTTTGCTTATCACATGTCTGGTTGATATTGTATTGATCATGATATTGTCAGGAGAAATTCTGTCTTGGTCACACATAGGACCAGTACAGCAAAGAATTCAAGTGCGAAGGGAGGGATGGATTTGTGGCATTATTCTCCTTGATTATTTTGAACCTTCCTAACACAACTGATATGATATATGATGTTTATTCAAACCTTTTGTAGAGAACTGAATTACAGGTTTGTTACAATGAGATGTTGTTAAGGTTGAGAACAGACGTCGGCATTTTCTCGGGCACTTCTGGCAGCTGCTTCAGTCCATATCGATTTCACCTTCCCACCCATCCC